TGAACCCCCCCCCCCTCCGCGCCGTGTACAGCTGTATCGTATTCCTGGTTGGGTCGGAACAATCGGATTCATTACATCGATGACGGCAAATTTTTGCTCCGCCTGCACTCGCATTCGACTGACCGCGGACGGGCATCTGAAAGTGTGTCTGCATGATGCGAACGAGGTCAACCTGCTGCGTCCGATCCGTGAAGCCGGTCTGAACCAGGAACAATTGAACAGTTTAATCGATTTGGCATCAGTCGAGTATAAGTTGTTGCCAGCAGAGCTGGAACAATTGATTGACCGAATGGATCAACTGATTGATCAAGCCCTAGCTAGAAAAAAACGAAAACATTCAGGTATACATATTCCATATTCCATATACATACATATATACATATTACATATTCAGGTACATATTAAGATGACGTGAGTTATTGATTTTCTTGCCTTGCAGTTGTAATAAAACTATAGTGACAGAACCAGTTAACGTAACATAAGCAGGTACCAACACTTGGCTTCACAACAAATAGATTAACAGTATCTGCATATTTTCTTTGGAAAATGCTTGGATGAGTGATCGGATAACCATCCAAAAGGGGCTCGTGTAAAGTCCATCATCCAATAATCAAGAATTCTAGATTGTTGATGGGATAATTGCTTGGTTAAGTGATAACGGTTTCAAAACTGGGCTTCCTTGAGAATGATATGAAAGGATGAAACAGACGAAATTTGTATTGCAAAAACAAAAACTACACGAAAAATGACCCCGTTCAAAAGGAGAAATACGGATCAGGACTGAAATGAGTTTGATTGTTAATTTAAAATTAACCAAGATTGGAAAGGTTTGATTAGAATTTGCCATCGATGACCTTGTCAACAATCACCCATATTGACCAAGAAACCAGTCAATCCACAAATGCTGATTTTGATCGGTAACCAACTACTAAGACTCACAGGGAGATCTTACATTAATGGCTTAATCCACTGATCTGTAGATATGCAACAGATACGTACCACAAAAAGGCTTTGCAAACAATACTATGATTAAGGTTGCCAATGGTTGAGAATGAAAACCACACTTCACGTCGAGTGAATCAGGTAGTGGTTGAACGGATTAAGATGTGCTTTCAAAGTGCGAAATATAAACATTCGCGTACAAAAATGCTAGATTTGGGCTACTCGCAGAGGGCGAACATGTCAAACTGAGCCGTAACACGCATCCAGCAGTTATCCCTTCTTTGTTTCAAAGCATGTGCACAAGAGACCGTATACTGTTGCTCTTCTGTGTGCTCACTTTTAGGATAGCTTCAAACCGAGCGCATTATGTGTTTTTATCGTGAATAAGCCGAGCACTAGTCCGTAAAAGCCATTGATTCATCTAGGACACTACCTCTGGGGTCTCTCCGTAATGAAGAGCCGATTCGCTCAACTCCAAGTTATTTGATTGAAGACCACCGACTTCAGCGTGTGGTTTGTAAATACGATCATTTAGGGTGATACTTTTGGAATCGAAGTTATCGAAGAATAAAGCCTTGCAAATTGTGTAAGC